CTGTTAGTTGTGGATTTGCTTGTCACCCCCGAAAAGCTGGATCACCACTGCCTTCTTGTCACTGATGGCCAGACGCTGCTTTATCCCAGCCGACACCAGCTGCAGTGAGGAACGCCGATCCGTGGATCGAGCGTTGCGTAGGAGCTTACAGAAGGATCAGGAGACATGGTGGCGTGAACATGCTAAAGAGAAATTGAACTTGTTAATCTCTGGTAATACCAGAAAACAGTTCCATTTCATCCGAGCCACCGAAGGCTTCCGATCAAGAGTAAGCGAAACAATCTGTGAAGATGATGGTTCCCTAATCATTAATCTTCAACGACGGTTGGAGCGATGGGCCGTACATTTTCGCTGGCAGTTTTCCTAACCGCCAGCTCCATCTGTTTCTCCTGGGGCGTGCACTGGTGATGAGTGGACAATTCCAACTGATCCTCCCTCTCACCAGGAAATCTGGTGGAAACTGCTGCCTAAAGCGTCATAAGGCACCCGGCCCTGATGGTCTACCTCCTGCTCTATTTAAAGATGGCGGCTCTTTGCTGATTCGAGAAATCACCGCTTTGTTCTCAGAAGCCTGGGCAAAAGAGGTTCAATCATCCTGGAGTGGGTCGGTAGTCGTCCCCATCTTCAGAAAGGGCCTGCGAACAAAGTGCTCCAAGTAAAAGGGCATAAATTTGGTTCCCGTCATTCGCAAGATCCTGGTGTCCGTCATTCCTCGCAGGCTATCGCCGACGCGTGAATCACTACAGCGACAAGAACAAGCTGGGTTCCGCCCTGGTCGCGGTTGCAACGATCAGATTTTCACACTCCGCCAGATTCTTGAGCTCCGCCATGTGTAACAAAAGCCAACAATTGTTATGTTCCTTGATATCCGTGCAGCCTTCGATTCTGTCGACAGGGCTGTATTGTGGTACTATCTGTTGAGGTATGGCGTCCCCGAGAAGTTCGTTACCATTCTGCGTGCTCTGTATAGTCTGACCTCTGGTAGAGTTAGGGCTTATGGCAAGCTTTCGTCTTCCTTTGTTGTCACCAGTGCGGTTCGACAGGGATGCCCTTTCTCCATGCCTCTTTAACTTTTTCATTGACGATGTCTTCAAAAATGCTCTAGAATACTTGCTGAACACTGGCCTCGAGCTCCTCCCAGGTAGTCAGGTGGTTGATTTGGACTACGCTGATGATATCATCTTGTTGGGTGACGGTCCGCAGGCCATCCAACTTGCACTTAACCGTCTGGCGATTGAAGCGTCGAAGTACGGCATGAACTTTTCACCATCCAAGTGCAAAACGCTTTTCCAAGACTGGTATACGCCACTGCCTGCACTCACCATCGATAGGGAAACGTTAGAAGTAGTACAGAGTTTTGTTTACTTGGGAAGCTGCATAGTTGCTGGTGGGGCTGCTGGAAACGAGATTTCGATGCGTATCTCGAGAGCTCGTCTCGCCTTCTCCGGGCTGAGGCATTTATGAAGCCGCCATAACATCCGTCTCTCCATCGAAGGACCGGTTTATAGCGCCACTGTCCGCGCTGTACTGTTGTATGGTTACGAGACTTGACCTGCTCGTACCGATGACCTAAGTCGACTGTCTGTCTTTGAGAACAATTGCTTGCGGTCCATCACCCATGTGTGGTGGCTGAACCACGTAACCATAGCTGAAGTCAGACAGCGTGTCTTGGGTGGAAACAGCCACTCCCTCGAGACGCTTGTCTCGCAGCGCCAACTATGATGGCTCAAACACGTACCGCGTATGCCCGCTCAGCGTGTTCCGCGTCGTGCCTTGTTCGCGGTCTCTGGACAGGACTGGAGGAGGCGGAATGGTAGACAGCCTACAAGTTGGAGAAGCAGTATGGAAAACCTGACGAAATAGCTGGCCACAGTTGACTCCGCCACACTCCCCGGATAAGGGTCCCAAAGATGCTGACCGCAGTATGTTGGAAATACTGAAAGTCATGGCTCAAAACCAAACTCAGGGGGTGCATCATCTTTTTGCGGTGATTCCCTTATCTCCCCAGTAAAAGAGATAAAAACTAAGAAATTGGGAAAGGAAAAATGGACAAAAAATTGAGCTATTTTTTCCGTCACGATAATCTTGTTTTCCCATTTCGCCCTGGTTACGATGGCACAAAATCTGTACACAGATTGTGCTATATATATATATATATCTATGTATATATATATATCTATATATATATATATATATATATATATATATATATATATATATATATATATACTGCATCTCCTGCCCTAACAGTCGCTGCTGGGCGGTTAGGTGAAATAAGAGAGATAAGAGTAAACCCAGAAGGCAGGAAGAGAAAGTGGATAGAGCTAAACAAGTAGAACACCAAGATAGTTAAGTCATTAAAGACGAACTGAAAAATGAAGATGAGTCAGGTAGGAAAAAGGAAAGGTTTGACATTGCCACCCAAGGGCATCGACCTGGCGCGCAAAACCAACCGTAGGTTTCCTAACCACATGATCTGGAAGTGAATTTCAGCGATCTATAACTCGGTGAGACGGATGAGTTTCCGTCCTAATCCGAGCAAACTGTGGTTTATGCCGTTTCAGTGGGTGACCACGGAGATTAGGTAACTTAGCGAGACAAAATAGCCCTGACAAGTCCGGGCCGATATTACCCGTCAAAATACGATAAGTAAGCATCAGGTCCTCTCTTATCCTTCAATAGTGCATGGATTACATCTCCAAACTAAGCAAGCGTTCAGGATGCGTCTGTCCCCTAGACCTTACAGTAACCGAGTGCCTACTCATAACACCCACTCCAAGCCCATTTTGTCTCGGATAAGACATGGTGGGCAAGCCTGGATACAATATTCCAGGTAAGGTCTGGCGAAAGCCGAAAATAGCTTCACGAACAAATTGGCCGTTAGGACTCCGAAAGAGTGTTAGATAAACACCATACGAAACCATCAATTGTCGCAAAATTGAAGTGCGGACGGGTGTAAGACCCCTAAGTCAACCTGCTGAGTAACAACAGGGATTTCACCACCGTCGATAACATATTGGGTGGGAGGACTAGCAGCTCCGATTCGGGGAACAAAGCACTTAGCCCTATTTATGGGCATCAACCATAAGGTAGACCATTCCCAGAGCCTATCCAAGGCTCACTGAATTGCTTCAGAACCCCCGGGATATCCACAATATTCCAGAGCTTAAGGTCAAAAGCAAACATTTGTGATGGCACTCCTAGCTCCCCCGGAAAGTCATTCGCATAGATAGAGAACAACAATGGCTCCAATACCGAGCCCTGCGGGAGGCCAAGAAGGACAGCTTGCCTGAGCGAGGCTACGCCCCACCCGTGCACACTATTCCCACCCCTACAGGAAAGCAGACACCCATTTAACGGCGCAACCAAATATCCCGTAAGACCACAACTTTAGTGAGAGTCGAAGATGGGGAACAGTGCCAAAAGCTTTCGAAAAATCCACGAACAGCGCGCCTACAGCGTGGCCACTGTCTACCGCTTCGGCCCAGTTTTCACGAGCCACAAGTAGGTTAGTTTGACACGAAAATCCCTTACGGAATCTATGTTGCGTAACACTCAGGTTAAATCAATTCAGGTGGTTCTCCACTGAATCCCTTATCAGCTTTTCGAACAACTTGACTACCACGCTTGTCAAACTGACAGGCCGGTAGGTCGAGGGCACAGCGCTGTCACCGCCTTTAAAAATCGGACAGATGATTGCCTCCTTCCATTCCGAAGGTAAAACGCAGCTGCCAAGCGATATTGTAAACACGCATGTGAGGACCACTCAGTTCAGCAGCCAATTCATGCAACAGCTTCGGATGAATTGAATCAGGACCAGAAGCTTTAGAGGGATTAATGCCTTGCAATAGCCCAAAGGCCTGAGTCTACGTTATGTTAAACTCAGCCAAGCTAAAATCCTCTGGAACACTTGAAACCAATTCAACCTGTGGCAAAGAGGTCTCCAGTGCAAAGACACCAGTGTACTGTACCCGTAAGTACAAAAGCACTGTTAGAGTCAATATGTGAACGGGTGCCGTCTGTTCGCAATAACGCTGGTACGGGCAGTGTCACCCGCTGCGTCTTTTAACGTAAGCAAAAAGCTGCTTGGGATTAGCTGCGGACGAGTCCGCTAAACCCTGCTCGTACTGAAGACGAACAGTCCTGAGATGTTGCTTATATTTATTTCTAGTTTTTCGATAACGGTCGTAGGTGCTGGCTGATGGAGCTGCTCGGTAGGTTCGTCAGCATTTATTCCGTTTCTAGTGTAGGTACTTGCCTGTGGTATCTAACCGTGGAGGCTGTGCCAGTAACCCTCTTTTCCTTATGAGTGGAATATAGGGAGTGAAAACCTCCATAAAGTATGCCCTAAATTTTTCCCAGACTAACTGGACAGAGTCGGCTATTGAGATCTCACAGTTCACAACTGAAGCGTTAGCTCACATTGCACTAAAGCCTGCCCGCCTAATTCAACGGCGGTCTATTGGTGCCTTGAAAGAGCACGCCGAAAAGATATGCATGCATGGTCGTTGGACCCTAGAGGTGCACCATACGAAACGTCAGTCACGAAGTCGAGGGACTTAGCGAAAACCAGATCTAAAGTAGATGGTATTTGGCTGTCCATATACCTAGTGAATAAGTCCATGAACTGGTGCAAAGGCACTTGGAGAATCAGCTCAAGAAAATCTGCACCGAATGTTCCTGACGCCGTTGCAAGATAGATCGGTCCAAAAGAGTTACAATAGGTTGAAATCCCCTAGAACTAAACACATTCGCAGACTGAGTGCGAATAAAGTCAATTATCCCCTGGAGGAACTTCCAGGACTCCTGTATATTACTAAAACTGTAGACTGGGTAGAGGAAGTGCACATAACAGCCGATGGAACTTCAACAGTCTGATCCGGCGACTGGAATGTGCAGGTTTTTAACACTAATTTACACCTTACATAAAGTACAACGCCTCTGCCTTGACGACCAACGGAGTGATCAGTTCTAAGCAATGCATAGCCAGGTAAACTTACCGTCCATGACATCAGGAGACAATCACGTATCAGTGAAAGCATGTGTCGGTCGAGATTTGTCTACAAGTATAACCAACTCGTGCATCTTGTTCCTTAGGCTACGCACGTGGCTGCACTACCACAAGAAAGTCGGCACGACGATCCCTGGGTCGTGGGCTGAGTTCTGATAGGTCAAAAAATAATTTCCGGCTGACCACCTGAAAACCCAACGGAAGAAGGCATTGCTCCCCAACCGCCCGTCTAGTTTTGTGGCCTTTGATAACTGAACGCTGACACCACTACAATATTGAATGCAAACCGCAGTAATGAATTGCATTTCTTCGGGGTAGAAAGGACCACGAAAAGTACTCGGGGGCGTGCATCTGCCGTATTGTTAGAATCGTTCCTTAATCTGGTCAGCTTTCTGACAATGACACCAGGGAAGCCAGGTGGAAACAGCATGGTGAGCCACAATGTCAACCGGAATGCGTTCCCTTGAGAGAGCAGCCGCAGATCCAGTAACGGTACGGAGTATAACGCACTAACCGTGAGAGTTGCCATGACGGGATGTTTACCCCACGTGCCTTGTGTTCGACACACAAGGTGTTTTCATCACTGGCAGTGGGACTGTCCCTGTCTTCACAAAAAACGTCGAAGCAACGGCAGCGCAGGTTTATGGCTTTGTTGCCGCTGCCATACTATTTCCCGCCGGTGGCGCACTTCACGGGTTTGCGCGGAACGAGTAAGCGTAGCTTTTCGGTGGTTCTGCCTCGGGATCTTACGGCAAGGTCCTGATCTCGTCGGTAGGTAACAGATGTTGTGGGTCTCGACGCAGTAGTGGTGTTCAGCGAAGTATTCAGCGAGTTGACTGTGGGAACATGGATACCTGGAACGGTCCAAACCTTCATCATGGTGATCCTCAGATCCGCGAACCTGGGAAAACCGGTACGTGAGAGAGACGTGTGCAGCGGTTCAGCTGGGACGAAAGCAGCCTAGCAAACGTGTTCCAATTTTAGTTCGGTATAACACGGAGAAAACCGCGCACGTACGGCTTATTTAAATCGAAATCTGATTCGCTTCCAATGTAAAATAACATATTTAGTAATTACTTTCTGCATAAACCTGTTAAGTGATGGGCGGACTATGGATAGAGTTCTGAGGGTTGGTACGAAAATGGTACAAGGATTGAGGCATCTCTCGTATCCCGATAGGCTGCTCAGGTTGCAGATGTTTTCGCTGCACTATAGGCGCCTTCGGGGAGACCTGATTCTTACGTACCGTATATTGACCAACAAGATTGGGCCTGATCTAACTGGACTGTTCCAGCCGGCTCAGATGTCATCTCTTCGTGGTCACCCTCTGAAGTTGCATAAGCCTAGATCTGATCACGTTAGAGCTGACGTTTGGTTGTCACGCAGGGTCATCGACTCATGGAACGCACTACCCAGCGAAGTAGTGTTAGCACCAACGGTGAAGGAGTTTGAACATCGACTCGACGCCCTTGGGTTACAGTTTCAGACCTTTCCTTTTAGTTCTTAACTTTTACATCTATTTCCTTGGCTCCTCACATCTATTACTATTATTGTCTTAACCACACGTTCTCTCCTGTACTACAATTACCATTATTTTGTTTTTGTTGGTTCCCTTCTCTTAACCTTTATTCTATTCACGTGGCCGGTACAGTGGGGACTGCTAGTGCAGGCCGCGTGGGCATTGATTGGTTGACCGTTATGTGATTCGTGTGTATTGATTTGGCTCCTCTCGGCTCCAAACCGCTCCCGCGAACTCCATCCTGGTTCAACGACGCATTGAAGAAGGAACACACATGGGAATCCTCCTACCGTTCCTGGTCCAAATTGAACTTGAACTTGAACTTGGAGCAATGCGAGACCCCTCATTCAGTACGATTTTTGTAACACCGTATCTTGGCGTCGTGCTTGTTCCGCCATCGTCGTTTTCTTGTATACTGATTATACTGTTTTTTATCACGAAACACGGACTGATAGTGAAGGATACGTGGGCGATACTTTGTTGGGAATGGTGCAAAAATTTCAAGTTCTAGTTCAAGTGGGACTGGAAGGACAGGATGAATCCCGTAAGTGTTGCTTCTTGAGGGGGTCGTCGATCCAGGAGTTGATAGGGGTGCTCCGACATTTTACTTTTGCTGAATTTTAATTTCCTTAGTCAAATTCTTGTTCAACGACCCACTGCCAAAGAAACAATCTCGAGATAATCCTGCCGTTTCAAACCCAGTTAAAAGAACTTATTATGTTTATTGAATTGTAGAAGGCACTTGATAATTCCCATGTTAGCCCCTTTAGTTCCAGCTTAGCTCTGGGAGCAGGAATGTTGACGCGATCCCTTAACCCGCATGAGGCGATTACGGTAAAACCGTACGGTTCCGGTTTCAGCGTAAATGAATGTCTAATAGCCATTTGAAACAATTCACGCTAAGCGGCGAAAAGAACGCCAAGTCCGGAAGTTCTCAATACCTAGACAACGTTCAAGAGGAAAAGAGGGTTACTGGCACAGCCTCCATGGTTAGATACCACAGGCAAGTACCTACACTAGAAACGGAATAAATGCTGACGAACCTACCGAGCAGCTCCATCAGCCAGCACCTACGACCGTTATCGAGAAACTAGAAATAAATATAAGCAACATCTCAGGACTGCTCGTCTTCAGTACGAGCAGGGTTTAGCGGACTCGTCCGCAGCTAATCCCAAGCAGCTTTTTGCTTACGTTAAAAGACGCAGCGGGTGACACTGCCCGTACCAGCGTTATTGCGAACAGACGGCACCCGTTCACATATTGACTCTAACAGTGCTTTTGTACTTACGGGTACAGTACACTGGTGTCTTTGCACTGGAGACCTCTTTGCCACAGGTTGAATTGGTTTCAAGTGTTCCAGAGGATTTTAGCTTGGCTGAGTTTAACATAACGTAGACTCAGGCCTTTGGGCTATTGCAAGGCATTAATCCCTCTAAAGCTTCTGGTCCTGATTCAATTCATCCGAAGCTGTTGCATGAATTGGCTGCTGAGCTGAGTGGTCCTCACATGCGTGTTTACAATATCGCTTGGCAGCTGCGTTTTACCTTCGGAATGGAAGGAGGCAATCATCTGTCCGATTTTTAAAGGCGGTGACAGCGCTGTGTCCTCGGCCTACCGGCCTGTCAGTTTGACAAGCGTGGTAGTCAAGTTGTTCGAAAAGCTGATAAGGGATTCAGTGGAGAACCACCTGAATTGATTTAACCTGAGTGTTACGCAACATAGATTTCGTAAGGGATTTTCGTATCAAACTAACCTACTTGTGGCTCGTGAAAACTGGGCCGAAGCGGTAGACAGTGGCCACGCTGTAGGCGCGCTGTTCGTGGATTTTTCGAAAGCTTTTGACACTGTTCCCCATCTTCGACTCTCACTAAAGTTGTGGTCTTACGGGATATTTGGTTGCGCCGTTAAATGGGTGTCTGCTTTCCTGTAGGGGTGGGAATAGTGTGCACGTGTGGGGCGTAGCCTCGCTCAGGCAAGCTGTCCTTCTTGGCCTCCAGCAGGGCTCGGTATTGGAGCCATTGTTGTTCTCTATCTATGCGAATAACTTTCCGGGGGAGCTAGGAGTGCCATCACAAATGTTTGCTTGTGACCTTAAGCTCTGGAATATTGTGGATATCCCGGGGGTTCTGAAGCAATTCAGTGAGCCTTGGATAGGCTCTGGGAATGGTCTACCTTATGGTTGATGCCCATAAATAGGGCTAAGTGCTTTGTTCCCCGAATCGGAGCTGCTAGTCCTCCCACCCAATATGTTATCGACGGTGGTGAAATCCCTGTTGTCACTCAGCAGGTTGACTTAGGGGTCTTACACCCGTCCGCACTTCATTTTTGCGACAATTGATGGTTTCGTATGGTGTTTATCTAACACTCTTTCGGAGTCCTAACGGCCAATTTGTTCGTGAAGCTATTTTCGGCGTTCGCCAGACCTTACCTGGAATATTGTATCCAGGCTTGCCCACCATGTCTTATCCGAGACAAAATGGGCTTGGAGTGGGTGTTATGAGTAGGCACTCGGTTACTGTAAGGTCTAGGGGACAGACGCATCCTGAACGCTTGCTTAGTTTGGAGATGTAATCCATGCACTATTGAAGGATAAGAGAGGACCTGATGCTTACTTATCGTATTTTGACGGGTAATATCGGCCCGGACTTGTCAGGGCTATTTTGTCTCGCTAAGTTACCTAATCTCCGCGGTCACCCACTGGAACGGCATAAACCACAGTTTGCTCGGATTAGGACGGAAACTCATCTGTCTCACCGAGTTATAGATCGCTGAAATTCACTTCCAGATCATGTGGTTAGGAAACCTACGGTTGGTTTTGCGCGCCAGGTCGATGCCCTTGGGTGGCAATGTCAAACCTTTCCTTTTTCCTACCTGACTCATTTTCATTTTTCAGTTCGTCTTTAATGACTTAACTATCTTGGTGTTTTACTTGTTTAGCTCTATCCACTTTCCCTTCCTGCCTTCTGGGTTTACTCTTATCTCTTTCTTATTTCACCTAACCGCCCAGCAAGTGCTTCTGTTTTTGTTTCCGTGGGTTTTATGTTTTTCAACGTATTAGTATTTTATTCTTTGTTGTTTTTAGTTATTCAGTACTTTAACATTCCGTTTTATTCTACCTGCTGCTTTTGTAATCTGTACGGGTATTTTCAGCATGCCTTTGGCATTTGATCTATATTTTGATCTTTTTGAATAGTTTCAGCGTCTTTTTACTATATCTCTGGACTTTTATTGAACTTAATATACGGCTTCCTCTGTTTACCTTTTGTCACCTTTACTATTTTTATGTATGCTGGCGAGTCGTCCACAGAACTTTGCGGAGCCACATCCCAACATATGAGTTTCCAACTTTCAGGCAATTCGTATCCGCGCAGCAATGTTACGCTGCGAATTCTCCATGGCTGACATTGTGTAGTTTACCTGGGATAAATTTTTTTCTTAACTTACGGTAGGTTCTGCTCCATACATTCCACTTGCGAGGGAATTTGCACGAGGCGGTTCCCATGGGTAAGTGCTAATGGTAATTGCCTGCTTCAACGGCATTGTTGGTGCTGGTGGAGCTAAATTGCAGCTCTATCAACTAGCACCTATTATAGTTTCCGAGAGGTTAGAAATAGCTATAAACAACAGTTGTGGAGAGCTAGCCTGTTGTACAGAAAGTGCTTGGGTGATGAAGCTTCGGAAAATCCCATGAGGTTCTTCGCATATGTGAACATACCTTTTGATTTTAATTTGTTAATGCCAACTTTGATGCGAGCCGATAGAAAGGCTGCGTATGTGGACACAGACCAACCTCATGTACGTTGCGATCAGTAGGCATGGGGCTTTTGTACGAGAGGTAGCGTTGAACAGCTTTGAAGTTCTTTAGAGACTCTGATTGTTTTACTTCGTCTGGCAAGCGTTTTCCCTACAAAAAGCCACAAATGTCTGTTTAACAACACTGCGACGTGGCGGATGTGACTCGCCACTCAATAAAGTCACCGCCCCTAACACATTGGCAAGTTGATCGACACCACATTTACAAGTTCTGTGCATATATTGGCTCTCGCACGAACACGCCTACATATCTGAGTAGTGACATGCCACTATTCTTAAGTATTGTTCACCCGTTTCCTCACACTTCACTCACGGACCTACATTGCTTACGGGACTTCATCGGGCTAGTTCCCCATCAGCATACCATATAAGTGATCTGAATCCTATCTTTACCTCCCGAATTCTGTGTACATAGACTACATACAACCTTTGGGCTCTATGGGCCCACACTACTGTCTCCAACTTTACTACTCCCACTGTTGGCGCTGCTTATTCCGCTATCATGTACAATGATGCAATATGCTGATCATGCCCAAAAAGGCGTGTCTCGCTTTGTCGAGAATAAAATATTTATTTATTTATTTATTTAATTCACTGTGGTG